ATTTTATTGTTTTAGTTTCAATGTGTTTTATTTGGTGTGTTTTGGGCCTCAGGAAGAGTAGTGAGGACACTTTTAAATAACTAAATAAATAGAATKTGTGCACATGGAGCCAACAGTCTCATGGTCACAGCAACAACTGTCCTGAAACACTTGACTTGATTGGACTCGGCGTGCGATGAGAAGTGGGCGAACAAGAGTCCATCAAAGCTGGAGAGTTTGACTTTATAACTGGGCTCAAGCTTTTCACTGATTTAAATATTTCCACTTCTTCATCCTTTGTGCTAAAAAAAAGAACAACTGTTAAAAACAATGTAAGTGAGAGTTCTGTGTAAAATTCATGAACAATTAATATCTTACCTGTTGTAGATGGTGCTTCCACGTCAGTTCATATGAGTTTAAATCTAAATCCTTTTTATTTTGGAACTTGGCTTTTGGATCTGGGAAAAACGTCACATCTACTTCAACCGTAAATCTGCAAACTGATGTGATTTGATGATTACAGTGACCAGCACAGCGAGACAATAAAAACTGATTTTTCTGCATTAATGTTTCTTCTAGAGGAACTGCAGCAGTGCTTGTGTGGCAGAATTAAAGAAATACAAACCGAGACCAATAAATACAAATTATTTATTACTACAGGTTTGAGCACTTTCCGTGCACGAGGCGGCCATTTTGGATTGTTTGGGACAGCGTCATCAGGAATCTCCCACTTTCCCAGTGGAAGATTAAACTTCAGGAGGCGTTCCATTTAATTATTTTCACTGTGGAATTTCCAGCTTCCACTTAGAAATGGAATGCACCTTAATTCTGACTAAACTGACAACTAGTCTGAGCACATTCAGGGATCGCTGTCGTCTTAAATTATTTTAAAATAATTTTATAATGAGCAGGTATGATGTCACCTGAAACTAACCTAGTAACAGGAACTTAATATAAGGGTTTCGATCAGTGGGACATGTGGGAACGACAAGAATCTGACAGTGACTGAGAGGAATAACGGAGCTCATCGACACCGAGATGGATGATTAATGGAGAACAGGTGTGCTAAGCAGCAGATGAACAGCAGGTGTAGACTGGCAGAGTCCACAAGAAAAATAACTGGAAACCTACAAACAGAAACACAACTGCCTGAGTAAACTGAGACCAAAAACAACTGAAAAACTCAAATATACAGTYTGTTGACAAAGAGTGATTCTATCTGTGTGAGGGTGTTTTTTATTAGGTGTTTTTATTTTTATTTTTATGAATTATTTATGACATTTTTGACTATTTTTAACTACTGTTTAGTGTGTGTATGTTTGTACTTTGCATGTGTATATTTACAAACCGTTAGCCTCATTGTGTTAGCATGGCTGGTGAGGAACAATATTTCTTTTTATCCTGTGTATGGAAATACCCAGGGAAATTACAGTAAATTAAATCTTGAATTATGAATCTTTACAGAAAACTCTAGAAAAAAAAGCACAATAAAATCAAAGCTTTGAAAAATTACAAAATGTTACACATTCTTTGTGGGGACAGTACTTTATGAATCCTTACATTTTTGCCAGTTTATTAAAAGGTTATTTCAGCAGAAACATTTAGATATTACTGCTGGAAGTGCCTCAGGCTGCACAGGAAGTGCTACAGCTAGCTGTTGCTATTCAGACTAGCTAAATAACCAGTTGATTTTATATGAATAAGAGTGAAATGCAGAGTTGATCATGATGTGCAGGTTTGTAAAATACTTCTCACATGAACCACCAGCACGGTTTTTGGGATTCGTTATGTCGTCTGAGAAGCTTTCTACAGCAGGTAAGATACTTACTTCTTCACAGATCCCCCTTCACTTTAAAAAGGCATAAACTGACCCTCTAGCRTTCAGGTGACATCTCTCTGGAAACACCACCATTAACGTATTATTTAACCTCACTGGTTCAGAAAATTTTGTGCCTTTGGGCCACAGCTTCTCCATCTTGTTTGCATGTGAAACAGAATGAAGTTTTTATTAATTTTTTTCTTTCCGGAGCATGTTGTTGGCGCACATTTAGGCTCAATTTTGTGATTTTCACAAGCATTCATCAGCAAAAAAACAAACAAAAACAAAAACATAATAAAACCTTATTTGCATGTCTATGTAATTCATGTGTGACAAGACATCATGGTGGAAAACTGATCCAGAGGTTTGTGTTTTTAAAAAGGACAGCTGTTCGGTGTCCCTGAGGTTTGGAGGCCTGAACAAAAGGCCCAGCCTTCATGTAAAACCACCCTGGTGTCCTCTATGCAAATCCTAATGCTCGTCTGGATGAAAGCTTTTAATAACACGCAGGCCAGGTGAAGGGGAGGCTGAATAGGCGGCGGTGGCGTCCCCTCGAGGCTGGGTGTATCGTTCAAGGCTTTTGTTGTGTTTGTTGTCATTGGACCTAAACTGAAGGGCAGGTGGGTTTTGTGTTGACACACCGCTCATACGTGCTTAATGATGCTCATCATCTGTTTGTATATATCTCTTATTGAGATGTTTTGTTTCTTTCTTTTGAGGGTTTTGACGAGCCCAGGTGGACTCTGGGGTTCTCTCCTCTCTGTCGTGGCTCTCAAACCGTCGGGCGGAGGCTCCGCGTCGCACAAATGAAGTGTAAATAAAGCGTGTGAGGCGATGCCGTGCACGCAGACACGTGCACACTTATCTGGACTTCTATCAGTTTCTGTCAGATTGGGGTGGGGGGAGCTCTTTCCATCGAGTCTTTGTTTTCACCACTGTTTGTGAAGCTTGTTTCTTTCTCTGGGGTTCTCCCACTCCACCTCCGGCCCTGCGTTCTTGACAGCCTGGAGACAGCGGCTGGTGCACACGCACACACACACAAACACACACAGGAACGAAAACACAAGCGTTTAACACAAATGTGTTCAGGCCTTCTGAAGCGAGCTGGTGCGCCCAGCAGAGATGCAGACAGAGGTGGAGACAGCTGCTGAGACCTCCTGTGAGAAGAGCCTCTGTCCGAGCAGACCACGCCTCGGCTCTTATCCCGCACACTGAACTATTGTCTCCAGACGTGCCCCCTCCTCCTCTGACATCACAGCTTGTCCTTTCCCCAGAGGTCCCGCTGCTGCTGCTGTTGTGGCAAATCTGGACAAGCCTTCTCAGTTCAAAGTCAGAAACAGCATCATAAACAAAGAGTAAAACATGGACAAGGTTTGCTCAAAAACACATGAATACTCTGACTTTTTTTTTGACCCAGCATTAAACTTGATCTGTTTTGAATTCGATTTGAATCCCATTTGCATGGCAGTTGATGCTTTTCTTGTGCCGCTCCTGAAATTGGCAGATCAGATGCAAAGCAGCTTCTTCTGTGTCACTCAGCTCCACCTGCATGAGCTCCTCTCACTAAACACAGACCATTTTGGGTTTTTTTTTTTAAAGTCAGGTGACCATCTTCAACTGTCTTGAAAAGTTAATCATTTGTAGACACACATCCAGTTATTATCTTCTGAACATCTTATCTAAATCCACCCAGTGAACCATGATTTATTTAGCTAATAGACAAAGTTAACTATTATTAGGTAATCTGTGTGTGACGAGCTGTTCATGCCTGAAATGGTAGATTCTGTTAAAGGTGTTGGAGAAGACAGAACCATCAAAGGAGATAAACGTGGAGCTGAGTGTCTGATTGGAGTGTGACAGCTGAGGTAAAAAAAAACAACAACAACAGGTTTATTCTGGAGATGAGGACTGATAAAAACCACCCTTCATGTCAAGCAGACATGTTTTCTTGTGATATTTTAGTGATGAAAAGATCTCCAGTCTTTCTAACGTCCTTTGACTGMTTTTACACTCGTTTTCAGTCTTGGCCATTTTTAAAAGAAGAAGTTTTGAACCAATTAACTTTAACCTCTGAATCCTTCAGGCAACAAAAGGCTCCAAACCTCAATCTGTTCTTTGATTTTCTTGGCACTTTCTTTACAAGCAGCTTGTCATTGATAAAACACGTGYTCCCATTTCTTCAGTTCAATCTACACAGTTTGATACAAAACAGAATTTTTGCACCAAAACATATTTATAAGCTAAAAATTTAACCCAGATTATCAGCTGAAGGATGATCTCAGCTGCAGTGTTTGGTTGTTGCTGAATTTTTTCTTTTTTTTCCCTTCCAGACAAGGCTTTTAGATACTCCTCATCTGCTTTAAGTAGGTTTGTTTAGTCCTCCACTTGTTCACCTTCCTCCTTTGTTAAATCACACTAAAAATATAGCAGTTCCACTGGGAGTGGACTAAAAAAAAGGCAGCCAAAGTCCAAAGGATAAATGTTGAAAGATATTTAAAAAAAGCCCCAACTGTTGATTGAAATCATCGTAAAAATGTTCAAAATCTTATGTTTCATTATAAGCAAACTATAAAAGAATTAAAAGCCTGGCWTTCTTTGAAAGAATGCACATCACCTGCCATTTTTTTTGCCAAATTTATAATATTTTAATGAGATGTCTTGCAATTAGAGACGTTTTGGTCAACCCTTAAAGAACATTAKGTGTGATTTCATTTTTGCAAGATCTTTGCAGAAATGTTAACATTTGGAGTATGTGTTGAGGATGACTGCTTGTTCAAAACCAGAA